TAAAAAATATTAAATATTTTTTAAAAAGTTAGATGTTAAAAATATAAGGCATTTTTAGTCTTTTGAGATGTAATCATTGTCTTTTTTAAAAAGTACCCCTATTGATAATGACTTTATATTTATTATAGGATATTTAATAGGGATAAATATAAAAAAATAGGGTTAGTTTAAAAATAAGTAACTACTTTATTGAGGGGTGAGATTCAGTTAAAAATGCCTTACATTTTTAAACAGAAGGAGTATTTTATATTAATTTATTAAAATAAAAATTTATAAAATTATAAAATACTTTTAATAAATTATTAATTTTTAATCTAATCTAGATTTAATTTAGAAGGTCTAATTTAATATTAAAATTTTTATAATTGAATATCTTGAATTTTTCAAACTTACTATGTATAGTCCAGATATTATATCTAAACTGCTAGACTGTGCAGAGTGCATATAGATAATCAATATACATCAATTATAAAAATTTTAATATTAAGTTAAACCCTCTAAATTAAATCTAGATTAGATTAAAAATAAAAAATTTATTAAAATTATTTTATAATTTTTATAATTTTTATTTTAATAAATTAATATAAAATAATATTTTAAATCTGAATCATTTAGATTAAAATTTAAATGATCAAGATCTCATCTCAAGGATAAGCACGTGGTGCTCATCCCAGAGATGAGCAGGAAAACCATTCCCTATTGTTCATAGTGCTGAAATGTTGAAATTCTAAAGGGATAACACAATTTTTAATCGGTCCATGTTTTAGTATAGGTTTTTGTCGTTCTTTTATGTTGTTTGAGGTCCCTCTAGTTTATTCTTTATGTAACATAAGCTTTTTTATTTTTGAATATGCTTAGAAGAATGGTGAGATGACACTAACATTATTAAATATTCTGATAGGCCACTAATGCTTAAAAGGACGACATTCAACAATGTATTTTGGCATTCGAGTAAGTATGGTTAATGGGGGTTAAGCATTTTTCCCTTGACTATAATGCCCTAATAACCTTCAACCTAGTGGAATCATTGCACATGCTGCCTTTATCTTTTTTTAAGATCTAGATGCTTTTTTTTTTCCTTCTAAATTAATGGCATTAGTGACAAGTCAAAAGATTTAATGATATTAGTGCTACTTCATCATCCTTCTAAGTATATTTAAAAATAGTGAAACTAATATTATATAGAGGATAAGCTAGAGAGACCTAGAATAGTGGAAAAAAAGTACAAAGATTATACCAAAATGCGTTAAAATTATAATGATTAAAATTTATATTTTTCTTCTTACTAATGGCTTGCCACTTCAAAAACCACTACATTTCACTATTGACTGTGTTTTTTTAGTGTTATGAATACAGTTCAGTTTGATTAAAAAAAATCACTGCACTTTGGTTTTCATCTTGTATATGTACTATTTTTTATTTTATTTATAAGCCATTCCAAACATGCTTTACAAAAAAAAAATTAAAACTTATCAACTCTATTTAAAAATTTAATAAGTTTTTAATTTTATTCTTATTAAATATGTATACTTTAATAATATGCTTTCTCTCATCAACATTTAATGAGAGTAAATGAAAAAATTTGTAATAAAAATTTAATAATATAATGACTTATAAATAAGATTAAAAAAATTATTTATTTTCAACATTATAGGTAGAACCAGAAAAAGTAATAGAACCCATTTGATTATCATATATCTCATTTTAAAAAAGCTACTTTTTACTTTCAAAAAGCTCAATTTTGGGTCTTAAAGCACATTAAATAAGATTTGGAAGTGAATTTGAAAAATGGACAATTTTAAAGTTTTTGAAACTAAAAGCAAGGTTGGGGCTTTTAATTAGGAAATAAATATGTACCTAACTTTATATTTGATCACACAAACACATCAAATTTTTATTATATAAATTATTCACTATAGCAAAATTTATACTATTTATATATTTTTCAACAAATCAAGCTTTAAATAAAAAATTACATATCATAAACTAAGTCCTTTTAAGTAATTATGCTTCTAAATGTACTTTTCATCATACATTATGTAAATAATTTTCAGTTAATCAAATTAGTTTTTTTTTAAATATATTTAAATATAAATTTTATTATAATAATTAATTTTTACTAAGTTGATTATTGCCAAACAAACTTTTGGCAACACACTTTTGACCAACTAAAAGGGGAAAAAAAAAAAAAACAAACAGAGCACATAGTTTGACAAGGGACTTGAAGCTAGCATTATCTAAAATTAAGAGAATTATATACAAGTCACACATAACACATTTAAATGCCTTTAGCAAAGGAAAATGATAAAACATTTAGTTGTCATTTTTCTTTATTTAGTTGTTAATGAATTTTATAGTATTTAATTATATTATGTAAGATTTTAAAGTAATTTTTTCAAAGAAAATCATAGAAATTTGTGAATTTCAATTTCAAGAATTGATTCCCAAATAAGGAATAGTGAGGTGTGAGTATAAATAAAAAATTTAAAAAAAAAAAAAGTTGTGGGGGTGGTGGTGGTTTGTGGATGTGTATTTCTGGCGGGAATGATGGGGGCAGCATAAAGGTCCTCCTCTTGCAGATATCACCTCTTGCGGTCTTCATAGGCAATTTGCTTCAATGTTGCTCGGGTAACTATTTGGTTAACTACTCAATAAGTTGACTCTTAATTTCAATTCAGTAATATAATTCAGAAAACCAAGGACCTGTTTGGATTTCAATTAAATATGATTAATTATAAAATAAATTAATTAATATAATTAATTTTAATTATAATTAATTATGTTATAAAGTAATCATATTTGGAAATTATTTTCTCAAATTGATTTTGATAAAATTAAAGATGTTTGGATGATTTTAATTACAATCAATTTCATATGAGTAAATTACCTTAAAGGACATGAGTTTTATGCTGTTAATACTAATAAAGTTATATATAATATTATTAAATTCTTTTTGATATATTTAAAAAATAAATATATAATAATAATAATAATAATAATTAACTTAATACTTAAATTGCATTATATTATAACATTAATAATTTAATCATGAAATTAAAACCAGTGGTTAGTTGACAAGAGGGGAAATATATAAAAATAAATCTCCCAATATATAATAAAAAAATATGTGTTGGTCTCAAAAGGGGGAAATGTATATAAGTATTTACGGATAGAAAAATATCACTTACCGGTCAGATAAAATAAATAGCAATTGTCAGCGCACGCATTCATGTAAGAAAAATACTATGGAGGTTCCTCACTTCAAGAATCACGAGCCACATACAGGTATATTTGGATTGTTCAAATTTTTGACATATAAGTAATGCACCAAAAGATATAATTGATACGCAAAAGTAGGCTTAGTCGTCATCTTTGAGCACGGCTCAAAATTGATTAATGAAAAAAGTGGGTGTTTGGGGGGTTTTTTTTTTTAAATACAAAACCAAGGTTTTGCGGGTTTAGAATTGATTATTCAATCAATTCAAACAGGCACTAAGAAATACTATTAAAATTATATTAATTTTAATTTTATATTATTAACTATTTATAAGAAATAAGTTGTAATTTGTATAAAAAAATAAATAAATAAGTTATTATAATACAACGGGACTCAACTAAGGAATGAGCTCCACATAATGGAACGCATATCACATGAATGCTCATCATAAAACTACAAGAGATAAAAGAAAAGATCAAAATGACGTTTAAAAAAAGAAAAATAGCAATAAAGGATCGCCGGAGAAAGTTTATATTAGCCAAGAACTAATTATTATTAAAATTAAAATGAATTATTGTTAATTTAAAATAAATTATTATTATAATTTAAATGGATACTCGTTGATAAAAGACTAATTTAAATCGATAAATATTTATTCTAGTTTTGACAATAAGTAATTCTTAATTCTTAATTTATATAAATTTTCTTCCACCATCCTTAATTGATATTTTCCTTTTAAAAAATATTGCTCTCTCACGATATAATTACATCTCCAAGAAATGGAAACGTTTTTTATTTTATTTTCCATACCGATTTCTTTTCATTATTTTGTTCCTCTGGGCCCGTATACGGTATATAATTGTTATGATCAGTTTTTGAGTCAGTGTTTTGTTCGTCCATAGTATTGGGCTTATTCATTAAAGAGGCCCAATTCTTAAAGTCCAGTATTCATTCAGTTAGTGACATTAGAGTCGACTTCTGAGTTCTGTTCTTGATATTTACTCCTACTGTGTAAAAACGCTCCCCTTGAAAGTTGGAACAAAAAGATCCAGTATTGGTTCATACTTTAGTTATGGTTTTTTAGCAATACCTGAGATTGAACAAGCGCAAGTTTGTCTCCTTCATCTGTCACTTTCCTCTGCAGCATCTTGATTCCAAATTTCGCAAAGGTCATGTGCAAAAGACGCTGACGATTGGCCTCTTGACACTCATTGTAAGACACGGATGAAAGAGTCGTGCAACATTGAAAGGCGAAACTCAAATGTTGGCCTCTACAAACTACAAATTAAAGCTATTCTGCTCCTTAAACAAGTCCACCAGAGAAAACGACCTTGGACGCATCTACTGGTGGCTTTGTTCCAGCCTTGATAAAGTATCACTCATTAGTTATGATGCATCAATACGGTCAAGCAAAACATGTTCTCCTCACAAGGGTCACAGTCACGCAGCAGAAAGATCGTATAAGCCAACATCACTGTCAGTAGAGCATATGGATAGCCTGGTGACTACAATTGAAATGGAAATGACATTACCGGCCTTCAAATCTGTGTATGTGCCGGCCCATGCTTGTTGGATATATTAGTCATAGATAGCATGATTTTTTTCTTAATGGCAATCGGTCCCTCTTAAAAAACCAAAATAATTGAATGATCAGCCACTTGGACTTGTTCAATTGCCGGCAAAGAACCTCAATATTTGGACTTTTTTAATTTCGCTTACCTTGCCATTCTGATAACCATCTACTATTTAATATCCCCACATAATCATTTGTGTCAGATCCTAAATGGAACAATTTTCCATGTGGATAATCTTCTTGTCATTTCTTCTCCACTTGAACACTAGTAACTGTGTGGAGGACGAGGTCAGCAGCACACTGATAAACTTTCTTGCAAAACTCTCTAACAACGATGGCAGCCAGAACTCTAATTTGGTTTGGAAGCCAGGCTCTCATCCCTGCAAGGACTTGTGGCAGGGTGTGGTATGTAATGAAAAAAATGCATCAGTACAGAAGCTATTTCTTAACAGGTCCAATTTAGCTGGAACTCTTGATGTTGCCATGCTCTGCAACTCGCGGCCAATCGTCATGTCTCTTACATCTCTTAACCTCGACGGCAACAAAGTAAGTGGAGGAATAGCAAATGAGGTTGGAAACTGCAAGCATCTCACTCACTTGAATGTAAGTGGTAATCAACTTCATGGGATCCTTCCTAGTTCACTTGCCATGTTGAGTTACTTAAAAGAGCTTGACATTTCCAACAATAAGTTCTCCGGGAACTTGCCAAACCTGTCCAGAATCTCTGGTTTGAATACCTTTTTGGCACAAAATAATCAGCTCACTGGGGAGATACCTCCTTTTAACTTTTCCAAATTTGACTACTTCAATGTATCCTTCAACGATTTAAGTGGCCGCGTTCCATATTTGCAAAGCCATTTCACTGAGGATAGTTTCTTGGGAAATCCTGAGCTTTGTGGAAATCCTTTGCCAAATAACTGTTCATCTCTCCCTACATCTGATGCTAAACTGTCTGATTCAGAAGAATCGAAGGGTCCCTCAAAAAGCCAGATTCTCATGTATTCAGGCTATGCTGCAATGTGTTTGGTCTTTATCCTTTTTGTAGTTCTTGCGCTGTGTAAAAGAAACAAGACAGGAAACAAGGTTGAAGCAGAAAAGGAGGCAATTGATGATAGTACTATTGACAAGCCCAGCCATGTTTCAAATGAATACAAATTAGGCGTGAGCAGATCAGAGTTTTCAGTCACTTCCGAAAGTGCAATGGCTTCACGATCATTTGCAGTTCTTTCAAAGTCATATGAAAATGATATTACATTGGAGGGTTTGATGAGGTCTCCTGCTGAGCTGATTGGCCGAGGAAAGTTTGGTAGTCTTTATAAAGTACTGCTTGACAATGGGATGATGGTGGTTGTTAAGAGGATTAAAGACTTGACTATATCAAGCCATGACTTCAAACAAAGGATGCATTTGCTGAACCAAGTGAAGCACCATTCTTTACTCTTACCTCTTGCTTTCTATTGTTCCCAACAAGAGAAACTTTTGCTCTATGAATATCAAGAGAACGGAAGTTTATTCAAGATTCTACATGGTATTTATCGTATCCATTAGTTTTTCCCCTCTTGAATGTTATACTTTACCCTCGAGTATATTAAGCAACTGGTACTGCTTGTTTATTTTCTTCAGGTTCCTCAAAAGACTTCGATTGGACTAGTAGACTTGGGATTGCAGCAGCAATTGCGGAGTCATTAGCTTTCATGCATCAAGAGCTTGAACAACATGGGATTGCACATGGCAACTTAAAATCCTCTAACATTTTGCTAAACAAGAATATGGAACCCTGCATAAGCGAGTATGGGGTTATGGTTATGGATGATCAAGAAATTAAAATTCAACAGAGTTCCTCTTTTGCAAGTTCATTTGCAGCTGGCGCGTCAGATGCTTTCAAGGGAGATGTTTATGGCTTTGGAGTGATTCTTCTGGAACTACTCACTGGGAAGTTAGTGAAGAGCAATGGGATGGATTTAACTGAGTGGGTTGAGTCTGTTGTAAGGGAAGAATGGACGGGTGAAGTATTTGACAGGACCCTGATATCAGAGTATGTGAGTGAAGAGAGGATGGTGAGCTTGCTCCAGGTGGCTATAAGATGTATCAATCAGTCCCCAGAGGCCAGGCCAAGCATGAATCAAGTTGCTCTCATGATCAACGTCATAAAAGAGGAAGAAGAGAAATCCTTGATTTATGAAGCATTGTGAGGCTAGTGCTTAATTATGCTTATCCAAGTGTATGGATCAAGAAGAGAATCTTTCAAACAGAGCATATAGAAAAATTGAATATCCATTATCCGGTTTGTAATACATTCAGACATTGATTGTACATTTGGCACTTGATTTTCTCCTACTTGTATTTTCTGTTCACTTTAGTAAAATGAGCATTGCTGGTGTGCCCATGACTCCAAGTTCATCTCAGCAGTAACCTCAACACCATTGAAATGCAGCTTCATTACTGATTAACTCATAATTCAGCACTTTTGAGATCAAGGCTCTTTAGTTTTAGCAATAATATTCTTTTGTAATAAAGCTAAAGTAGGGAAAGCAGAAAGCAACTATCAGCAGCTGTAATTGATAAAGAAAAGATTCATTATACTATTAACTTGGGATCCAGATTTTGGACTAGATAAGTCATTGATGCGAATCTTCGAGCGCAAGCATAACATTCTCAATTACTACATTGCCCTTGATTATAAAAGAAGAATAATAGGAAACAAAGTGTGACTACACACTTACTGTGAAAAGTTGAGAGCCACAACAAAGAAAGCTTATATCCGTATCTAGGAGGTTGCCCTTATGTGTTGTTAGTACACAATCACTTTTTGTATAAATCCATACCAATAAGAAAGCAACAAAGTAAATGAATGAATAAAGCAGCCTCCCTGTAATGAATGGAAAGGAGGAATTAAACTTCTAGCAGGCCTTAAACCTTTCTCTTTTTTTGATACTTGAACCAACGTGGACAAAGACTTTAATGGTGGTAGTTAGTTGGTAGCTTAAGGAAGCACTCTCTTAGAATCACAATATAAAATATCTTTTAAAAATTTTATTTAGTCAAATATATAAAGTATTAGATAACTTTTATAATTATTTTTTTAACTATATTACTATTTCATTTGCTACACTTTTTGGAAAAAAAAATGATATATTAAAATTTTAATTATCATCATCAAAACACTTATATAAGAAATTTAATGAGAGAAAAATTGAAAAGATGTACACTACAGTATTTTAAAAAAAATTAATGTTTCAATTATTTTTTTTTATAACTTTAAATTAGTTACAAATGTTCTATATTTTGGTTTGGGGATAATACATCTTATCTTAAATGATTCAAAACGTGGAAAGTTAAGGCATTTTGGGGCCATCTGCTTTGATTATCTGCTTTTACGCCACACTCAGCAAGTTCTCCCATCATACATAATTATCTTCCCTTGGCATCTAACAATAGTTTTGTGACAGCCTTGGAAATGTTCACCAAACTTGCTTTAGATCTAAGATTAAGCACAGTTTCATCCTTCAAAGCCATGACATGACGAAATAACCCATTCTTAAAAGTAATACCGAAAGAACGTCGTGGGCATTGTGATATTATCTTAACAGCCTGTTTGGATTGAACGTATAATCGATTAATTGGGCCAAATAATAAATTTTAATAAAAATTATTCAAACAGTTAAAAATTTTGATAATTAACTATTGAGCAAGAATTACATTTTGAAATAAGTTTTGAGGAGTTTTTTATAGATTCAATTTTTAATTAAATAATATATTTTACTTCTTAAATAAATTTTAATAAATTTAATATAAATTTATCAATAATTTAATTTTGAAAAGTAATATTTTTTACAATAATTTATATAATTAAAATTAATTTAAAAAAATAATACCTAAACAGATTACGTTATAATATAATTAATTATAATTAAAATTAATTATATTAATTAATAATTTTTATAATCAATTATATCCAACTAAAACCTAAAACAGCCACTATAAGTTCACAAAAAAATTTTGGCAAATTATTGGCGGCCGCGCCACCCTCTACTCTTCACCTTTTTGGTATGAAAAACAGAAAAAAGACATCTTACCAAAAAAAAAAAGAAGAAGAGAAAATGACAAGCTCTTCTAGAGGAAATAAAAAGCATCCGCGTTTTTCTGGCCAATCAATTCTAAAGAATTTGCATGATCGTTTTCTTTTTCTTTTTGACATGAATATGATCGTTTTCTTTATACTACAATCAAAAGCTATAAATATACTAGTATATGGATTCTAAAGAGTGCATTTTTTCCTTTTAAGTTCAGATTTTTTTTTGACATGGAATCTAAGTTCAAAATTAAATCATTATTAACATAGAAAAAATATCACATATATATCAAAACAAATAATTTAAAAATTATAATTCCTTTGGTTATATATTGGTCAAACTTTTTGGTGGCAAACGTGTGTCTCTATATATTGGTCGTTGGCGCAAAAAAAAAAAAACGTAAATATATATTGGTAAAAAAATTTAAAAGATTTCAATGATTCTTAATACAAGATTATGCAATATATATATATATATACACACATATATATAATATGAAACATTTATATTTGTTTTAGATATGCCCTTAATTGAAAAATGAATTTTGACTTTATGTATAAAGAAAGAAACCTCAACACACTATTTCATCTGTCCATATATAGAATATTTCAAAAGATTGTTTTATCCTTAAATATAAGATATGTTATCATATTTTTTAGCAATTAAATAATTTTGTCTTTATTATCCTATTAATGATGTGTTTTACCATCATCACAATGATGTTAATTGTAACATTATTAGAAGCAAAATTAGAAAATTGTTATGATTTTATGTGCTTTCAAATAAATAATAATTTTTTATTGATATGTGAGATTCAGTTAAAAATACTTACTCTTTTCATCTCTACATATAAGATTTTTAAGTGAATTTCACATACCAATAAATAAAATGTTGTTTTTTAGTTGAAATCACAAAAAATCACAATGATTTTTTAATTTTACTTCTAATAATATCACAATTAATATTATGGTGGTGGTGGGTAAAACACACAATTAATATCTTCTTCATTTTTCAAGACAAGGACAAAAATATTTAATTATTCAAAAATATCAAGACATCTCTTATTTTTAGGGATAAGATAAACTTTTAAAAAATATTTTATATTTAAGGGTGGAATGAGTATAAGATAGGGGGAGTATTTAATAACATTAACCATGTGATTTTATAAATAGACTAAAGTATATATTTAGTTATTTAATTTTATATAAGGTTTCAATTTAGTTCTTTAACTTTGTAAAGTATCTTTTTAATACTTTAATCCTAATATTGTTAATTTTAAATAATTATTTTTTGTGTCAATTGTTATTATTTTAAAAAAAATTAAATTTAATATATCAGTATTTGAGAATGTTTTGCTAATATTAAAAAATTTAATGTAAAAATTTGTTAGGATAAAACTAATAATATTAATATTAAATGATTAAAAAATATTTTATAAAATTAAGGGATTGAAATAAAATGTTGTGTAAAATTAAAGAATTAAATATATAATTTAGCTTTATAAAATTAATAAAAATTTCTTATATAAGTACTCTTATTTAACTAATTTTAAAAATTTTATAATATATATATAATATAATTAAAAATGTTTTATAAGTCTGGTTCAAATTTAACTATGAAATTCCAGGTTAAAAAAAATTAACTATGAAATTTGATACACTATTCTTTAATTTAATTAATGGACAAAATCATAAAACCGTGCGGTATCCGGCATCCCTTTGACCTTAAGTCCTTGCGCGCAGCCAGGCGGCAGTGAAGGGGAGTAATGCTTGAAAAAGCGCAAATAATATCTGAACACGTACGAAAGTGATGAGGACGCTCTGGGTCTGAGAGTGGGATAAAGAATTCACAGAGTTTCATTTTGTCATCGTTAAACCTCGCAATTTGTAGCCTTGTGCCGCTTTGGGTCTTCGGTTTCCTTGGCTCTTTACCATAAACATGACAGAGACTTGAGTACATCCTTGGGGGGAGAGACACTCTCCTGAGAATCCCTTTCGCGTTTTCACTTTCCTCTTCCCTTCTTTCTTTCGCCTATTTAATCCTATCATTCTCCTGCCTTAGGGTTTTTTTTTCGTGTGGTGGTCTGGTAGAACTGCCAGCCTGCAGAAAAGTTGGCATTACCTGCTCAAAATTTCAAGACTAAAGCTAGCGCACGCTTGGTGGACTGCCCAATATGAGCTAGGTGAATTGTGATTCTGATAAGCCTTCCTCTCTCTCTCTTTTATTGCTCCATCACTGATTGCCTTTTCATTTGAAATTATTTCTGGATTAAAAAAAAAAAAAACCAATAGCCTTCTCATTGCTTCGTCGTTATTTCACTAATCTTCCATTCCCACCTACAATTTCTTTGAAATCTGAGTGTTAAAGCTGTCTGTGAGTTTTGGCGTGGTAGACGGAGAGAGTGTTCTCTTTTGGCTATGGCAGTGTCCAAATGTAAGTAGGATTGTGTTCGATGACAGCGGTTAACATGTTTTATCGGTCTGCCTTATGATCTGAAGGATGTCAAGAAACAGGTATGAGTGGTTATATAACCACACCCATTTGAAGATGGCTTGGATTCCTCATCAAATCCAGGAAAAAGATGGGTATTTGAACTACCCACCACCGGTTTTGTCTTCATATCCATCCTCATTCCCAGGTTCTCTCCGCGACGAATCAATGTCTTCTTCGTCATCACCTCCATCCGGTGGCAGTACTAGAATTAGTCCGGCTGTTCTTTTCATTATAGTGATTCTAGCTGTGTTGTTTTTCGTATCTGGTCTGCTTCATCTGCTTGTCAGATTTCTCGCGAAGCACCCATCATCTGCTCCGTCTGCTCAATCCAACGGACACCAGGACATTTCTAGCTCTGATGCTCTGCAGAGACAGCTCCAGCAACTTTTCCATCTCCATGACTCAGGGCTGGATCAAGCTTTCATTGACGCACTTCCTGTTTTCCAGTACAGAGAAATCGTGGGTCTGAAAGAGCCATTTGACTGTGCTGTTTGTCTCTGTGAATTCTCTGAAAATGACAAGCTCAGATTGCTTCCTACCTGCAGCCATGCTTTTCACATCGATTGCATAGACACCTGGCTCCTATCCAATTCGACATGCCCACTCTGCAGAGGAACCCTCTTCACTCCAGGACTCTCAGTCGAAAACCCGATGTTTTATTTTGACGATCCAAGGGAAGAAGATGGGTGCCCTTGCAATGGAGAAAGTGGAGTAACTACCAGCCAAAAATCTGTGGAAATCGAAGAAATCGTAGAGAAAGCTGTTCTCCCTGTAAGACTCGGTAAATTCAGAAGGCTCAATATGGATGCAGAGGATGATAATGCAGGAGGAGAGACTAGTAGCAGTAATTTGGATGCAAGAAGATGTTTCTCAATGGGGTCTTACCAGTATGTGCTCGGCAACTCAGACCTGCGAATTACATTGAACGGTGACAGAAGACTTTCAGGTGGAGCAGAACAGACTGATAAGCTTTCAGTGGAGGGCGATAAGGAAGCCAAAAAGATTACAAGTGTGAGTAAGGGTGAGAGCTATTCTGTTTCGAAAATCTGGCTGTGGTCCGACAGGGGAAAATTTTCTAGTTCTTCGGATGATCAAATGGGCATGCCATCTTCTCTCCGCGCAGATTTGCCTTGGATGAGGGCAAGGACAACGGAAGGAACCTAAAGAGGTATCCTCATTAATATCTTCCCCTTTTCGCTTGAATTGGATATTATCGGCAGAGGAAACCTTGTAGTAGAATTCCTTAATTCGGTGATTACAGTAAAATATTGATGTACTGGAATTCCATATTGAATAGATTTTAAAAAGTAGTATATTTCTTGCTTCAAACAGATCTTCGGACTCGATTAAGAATGTGGATTTATCATTTGTATAACTAACCCAAGTGGCTAACTTTTCCTATAATAGCAAATGTTAATCTGATACTAAATTCTTAAAGCTTGGTCAGCGAGGGCGATTGTTCAGCAATCTTGGAGCACTCATCTTGAACCTGTGTTCCATTCCATCTTGATCTGCCCAGTCCAACAAATTTGTACCATTTACTCTTCAAATATTTACAGCTGACATGTATTTACGGCTGTTGATTGAATCTGAATGTGGGAGCCTATCTGGAAGACAGAGTTGCCCTCATTCACTGTGTCAAGTTTGTGTACGGCAGGAGTCAAATGCCATTGTCAGAGGGGCTTCTTGAGATCACATATCCTTTGTGGGGTCTGAGAACACACTTGGGCTGGACGCTTGGAAGTAGCCAGGGGTGGCATCCATGAAAGTTGTGACAGAAATTGTATCCTGCGGCGCAGAGATTAATTTACCTAAAAATCTAAGCTCTAGAAGGAGCACCGTGGGGTCGTTTCGAAAGCTCCCGTGCACATGTTCCCGGCGAAATTAAGGACTGAGGTAGTTGAAGGTGGTGACACGGAAGAGTTGTGTAGTTGTAGATGTATGCAAGTGTTTTCAGGGGACAAAGGATATGACTAACTGACAATCAAGTAATGATAATCGTTTGTTATTGGAAAAGGCGTGTTAATCACCAGAAGCATAACCGACGCTACACGCCAGGATGGATCCTCTTGAAGTTCGATGGAAATATACAAAAAGGAACAAGACTTGTCTCAAGAATGTTGGTTTTCTGTATCTGTAACCTTAGGGTGTCAAACATGGGTTCATAATTTTTCTTTTAAGGGAAGAATTCTGATACGGCAACAACCAAGGTACCGGAATTTATTAAAACAGGGTAATTATGGTGGTAAAGAATAAAGTATTTAATGATGGGAAGAGGGGAAAAAGGAAAATGGAAAAAGGGGTGACATTGAAAGTGGGGCTGCAAGAGGGGCCACATTGAGATAAAAGGGAACAGAGATGGCTGTGTGGGTATGAATACGAAGGATGGTTGTTTTCCTTTTTGGTGAGGGTATGGTAATGGTATTGGTGTGTAGAGCTTGGGAATGGAAGGAATATTTTTGTAGCATGCTGGCAACGGCACTCGGGGAAGCAGCATGTGAAACCATATTTGTCTTGACTTGAAGCTCCACTTCGCTTCATCTGTATCTGTACGGCAACTCATGTCATTTGTCGTGTCGTTTTGGTGTGATTCTTGGTCAATCATCATAAATATTTTCATTATAAAAAACAAATCACCAACAATAATAAAATTGGGGAGCAGGCAGCATCAGTGGCGCACTCTAAGTGGGCTGGCGCCTAAGTTAGTAACGTCCAATGTTGGGGAGCACCAGAGGTGGCAGGTGACTCATTGGTGCCCATTCTCATCTGCTTTTCTTTTTAAACTAAACAAAATCCTCAAATATTAAACTCATTTACTCTTTATATCTTAAACAAATGTTTTTTTTCCCCCATACTTCGAAGTTCCACTTCTAACTGGAGAACCATGTCTATTGTAACTCACGCTCCCTCGGCGCGTTTCTTACCCCTTATATATCTCTTGTCAGAGGTCAAAGGACTCGCAGCCAGGTCCACTTCCCGCCCGCTCCCCTCTTAACTTGGCCCAATAAAATAAAATAAATTACTGATCCCTACCAGATCGCATGGTGTTCCATGATTCTTATAATATTGTTATTTTTAATGTTTCATCTTTAGATTACCAAAGCTTGTTAAATTCTAACATGACTTAATTTTGTTGTGGTTGCACGGTGTTTCCGTGGCCATTAATTAAAAAAAAAAAAGCCATAAGTTGGTGTTGATCATTAACTCATTTTTATTTAATTTTTTTTAAAGAAATGAAATTACCTGGTCCTGGAATTACTAAAAATGAACTGATTTTTATGACTCGTGCCACGCTATTGGAATTAATAATGGACATCTTGACATGAAATTTTAAGGCAAATGCTTCACTCGAAATCATTCTATAACATAATTTTATGACAAGTAATGTCATCTCCAAACAAAGAAAAATTTGATTCACTTCTATATATTCTACCAATCTAGTCTAAATAAATATATAGTCTACATAAATTTAAGCAAGACATAAGAAAGGCCAATAACATGTTGAGTGGATGTGAAGCAGCTAATACATGACTACGATTTACTGTCTCTTTGCGTGTCATTCATGGCCATGCCTTCTTGTGCAACCATCCGCTTCCTTACAGCCTCAGCGGTTATATACATGAATAGTCAGTTATAGATGACCATTGAGAACTCATTGCCTTTACATTATTCAGATTTAATTTTCATGGTCTAGATCTACAATTTTTCAATTAGTGCTTTTTAAATGAAAAATTATTTTTTAAAAAAACTACAAGTTAAAAAATTGTCTTTATTTTAGATTCTGTATCAATTAAAATAATTTTTTTAAAAATAAAAATAAAAAGTTTTGAATTCAATCATTCAGATTAAATGTAAATGATTCAAAAATGATGGGCTCTTAATACTCATTTGTATGATGAATACTAAAATTTATTCCAATTACAGTGAGTGGTTTTGATGCTGTCAATTGTTTTTGGTTGTAATGAATGAGCCGCGGAATGCTTTATTTAAATAACAAATTTTAAAAAGAAAAAGGAAGTAATTAAATAAATAAAGGAGAAAAAGTTTGTGGGTTTGATGATAAAAATGATAGGAATCGGAGAAAGTAAAAGGGTTGATGGAACGCTGGAGGCCGGAGTAAAAGATGAAAAAAGCTAAGCAATGGTGGATACTGGATTGTGCTTGCATTTTTATGTGGCAAAGGATATTGAGAATGCTTATTATCACTATTTTACAATGTTATGAGAATTGGACCGATTATTGAATCGATTGAGGTTTTTATTTACGGTTCAATGGTCGAACAGCGGTTTGAATCGCAGTTCAACCAGTCATAAATAAATTAATATATTTTAAATATTATATATTTAGAAAATAAAGGAATAATTACATATAGTAATAAAAATGAATGTCTAAATTTCAAAAAAAATAATATACAACAAAAAATATAACATCCATTAATATTACATAATTTTCATCCAAAATATATATAAGTATTTCATAATTTATAATTTATAACTTTAAAATATATACACATATGCATAATTCATACATATTTTTTGCATTTTTTATTTCATAATGCTTATTGGGTATAAATATGTATAAATTATAATTTAAAAATATGAATTAAAATACAAAAAATAAAAAAAACATAATTGGTTCAACTGATTCTTACCCGATTTTGACCAGTTTTTCCTATTTTTGGCCGGTTCTACTTATTTTTAACCGGTTTTTGAAATTTTCATTTTTTAGTGATGACCGGACCAGACTGGGGACTAGTTCTTAGTTGAACCGGCCAGTCCAATTCTAATAGAGACCTTGACTGTTTTAAATGATCAAACTGGTTTGATCATTATTTGAAAAAGAAAATAGCTTGATTTAACCTTTTGGCCTATTTTGACAATTGGCCTATGTTGGCACTTGAGCAATTCTTGAAGATTCAAAAAAAAAAAAACTTAAACTCAAAACAGTTAGACTATTTTGAACCATTTTTAATATATATGTATATATAAATATTATTTTTATTTAATTATTACATTATTAGTTTCTACACGGGTCTAACCAACAAATTATAAGAATCGTGATTAGTTGACTTTTCCTGTTCATTGTCTAGTCCTTCTTAAAAGATTGCTTATTATTGTTATCCTCTGAGTGCGTGTTTGATGTGATTCCTTCTTTTCTTCAATTGCCATGTCATGCCCCACCAGATTCCCTTTCTCTGATCCATTTGATCACTGTACTTGTTATCATCAACAGACATACTCATCGTAACATATTCTCAGATTCTACTGATTAATTAATTCATCAAAAATTAATTGACAACCCAATGCTATATCTACAAGTTAAGAGACAAACGACAACTGCTTGCCTATATGTGATATCCACATCTTTCTTTTGTTTATTAATTGCTATTAGTTGGGCTGCTTACTATATTTGTGGGTTTGTATAGGAGCAGTTGATAACTTTGCGGTGCTGATCCCAGGGAGGCCTAACCTTGTCTCATGTTTTGTTTTCAACAACCAGACTCATTTTAGCAGCAGAAGATACAAAATAACGACACTCATTTTCTGGTTGCAAACACAGTTTGATAAGCTGGCAGTTAATTAATTACTTAATCAAGCATGCTCTTTAATCTATCCGAATTTAATTAAGTGCCATTCACGGTTTCTATTATTATGTCGCTTTGAACTCCATTGTGTTATAATTGGAGCAATAATGCTATTTGACATCTATATTAACGCTCGATTACTCCAGCGCCACACATGCATCATGCATTTTATGTTATACCATGTCTTTATATTTAATTCTCCAACAGTAAAACTTATCAAATTACTTACTGAAAAAGATTATCCGTTATCAACTGAATATTCTATTAGGATGAAATCTTTCAGGATGATTTTTTAAAAATATTTTAAAATTCGAATGATTGTTTCGTCAGGTAAAAGTAAAAAAACTGGTTTGCATGTGGCAGGGACACGCACGACACCCCACCATATCCGCCATCATACCCGACGGTGGCGTGCTTGACGGTCTTGGTATGGAAACGACGAAGGAAGGTCATGCACGAGGGTGTGAGAGCATCGTCGGCCGATCCTGTGGAAATGACGGATACACCAGAAACCCACAGTGTGGCTTTCCGGGGGGCTGTTATTCTCTACAGTCTACACACACTAATCCGATGCGCCTTGGCCTTTCTATCAGCTCTGTTCAGCACTGAGCTTCACTATGGCCTACTTCTTATACTTTTGCCGGGAATACCCCATGCCACGTCTGTGTTGCACCATCAAAAATTACTGCTAGAGTTGGAGACCCAAGTGTGATTTCATTTACATACAAAGAGTTTGAATGTGTGTTGGGAAGTGACATCATGGCTACACCAGAACAGAATACGGTTGCTCAAGGCCTTGGCGTTGCGCCTCTGTGCTTATGTTCTGTTGTTATTTTTTCTTGTTCAAAGATGACCCTTATAAGCACTCTTTCTTTCTTTTAATTCTACTCATCACCCCGAAATTATTCAAAGTTTTTTTTTGGCTTTCTTGTGCACTTTTTTGTCACTCACCTCTCTGTGCCGATGCAGTACATATGCTTCACATTTTTTTTTGTATTTTTTAAATTGTAAACTGAGTTTATATTTGTTGGCTAGAAACAACCAGGTGTGCCAGAGGAGTTTTAGCCCTAAATGTATGTGAATAAATTATTATAAGTTTTCAAAGTTCTTTATCACAATTTTCTTAAAGTGCCTTAGTGGTCAAGAGTTTAAGAACAATTCAAAAACTAGTCGCAAGGAAGTAAACATGCGTTTATGGGGAATGTACGATGGAGATGCTTCTATAAACGGAGTGAAAAGCAAAATAACGAATCTAGACAACCTTGGTTAGGAATAAGGGTTGCGTTGAGCAAAGTATTGCATTTTGCTTTTATACGTTCAGGCCACCGCACGCCCTTTAATTCAAATTTGAATCCCAACCCTTTGTGGAGCTATAACCATTCATGGTAACTGAAGGAGTCCAGTGCTCCGTGATTGGAGAACATGGCCTGAAGAGTGCCCGAGATACTTGGGAACATGGTTTGGTGGCCATTTAATTAATGTACGTACCACATATATCTTCTCTCATATTTTATATCTCCTTTTTAATAATAAAATAAAAGTTATGTATAACAGTGAGATTAAATTCATTTTTACTGTGTATTAGTAATTTGACGGTTTTGTAAGTAAACCCCCAAATTTATGGTGTCATATGTTGGCTTTTTTTATGGTATAGAGTTCAGATAATATAAGTAGTTAATTAAAAATGAAATCCGACATAATATTGAAGTCATCATCAACCTCATAAATTACATCATTTGTTCTCTATATAGGCAAATAGTTCCTATTATATGACGCATTTTAGAAGAATTTTTTTATACTTAATATAAGACACTTGATAGGGTTTTAATTATATATTTTTCTAACATTATTCTTATTTAAATTTATTAATTTTGAGAGAAAATATAATGCAAATTTAAAATTTTTTAATTTAATAAGAGTAAAAATAAAAATTTATTTTATTTTAAGACGAAATTAATAGTTTAACTATCTTTTATTTATTCCAATGATAGTTAGAAATAGCTTATAATAGGTAACGGAAAAAGTACAGATTAGCATGTTAATAGTTTTTGTTTGATGAATATACTAAGGTTTAAATTCAACGCTCTGGCCTTAGAGTCAAGGAAGCATGAAGAGAACTGGCAAGTGGCGAGAGATTGGGGTAGGTGACAACCTCCGTATGTTTAGCTGTGTTGGTGGTGGAGGATCTTCTCTATTTATTAGAGCCAGAGAGAAGCCACATGGAGATCACACATTCACACCCACCTTATTACGACCTAATTTCCTTCTCTCTCTCGTCTCGTTCCTTATGGACGCTACTCTGAGAAGACGACTACGATCTGGTAATGTACATTTTTCACACTTCAATTCAATCCCACGCTCCTCTTTTCTTTTGCACCACACAGAATGTGGACTATTGAACGAGACTTTTTTCTTTTTCTTTTTTTTCCTTTTTCGGCAGGTTTTGAGTGAGCTAGAAGGCTTAACAATGTAAGATGAAAATGAAGAAAAAGCTAAGGAAACTGGAATCCCACGTAGTGGATGAAGCCTCAGACTCGAATTTCTCCATGCCCTAATTACAAACACGTGGAAATTAGACTTGATCTACAGTTCTAAGCAAAGAAGTTCAAGATTGAGGTTTTATCACTACGTGGATTTTCTGTGCCTTCTTTGACCACTATGCAACTCTAGCTACCATTTTTCTACTTACTGTGGTTCGCTGGGTTTCTCTCCGTTTTTTTCTCAAGTCATTTTCACTGACTGGCTTCAGGTACTCTTGTTGGCGTTATGCAGATTTTGGTATTTTTGACGGAATTACTTACTCTGTGCAATATATATATATATAGTGTGTGTGTGTGTGTGAGAGAGAGAGACTCCATGTTACTATTTCCGGGCTGTTTATAAGAAACAAATGTAGTATTAGCTATAAACAAGTGCTTCACACGTAATTGGACTACATATAGACATACTTCAAGGGCGACTCGTGCTTTTGTTCGTAAAAAAAATCTCGGCAGTACTTATTGGCTTCCACCAATGGTCAGATAGGGAAGGGCTCAGTTGCAAATATATTAACTCAAGCTAATTCTCATGAGATTTTGACTTCCAAGGAGATCACAGCAGACAACCCATGCGATCGGCCTGGCTTCTAGGGAAGCAGTTCAATTGTGTACTTGATGATCGCTAGACAGATCCGGTTAGACTCACTCCATTGTTTATGGAAGGCTATTTCAGAAGCACTGGACTCGGAAGAGAGATCCGCAGGCTTGGGCTCTCTCAGAGCTAAATCTTTCTCAGAAATGGTCAGATACATATTGAGGGACTCTTTCCAGTCATCATAGTTAGTCCCATTAAGAGCCTTCACGAAGGATAGTTGCGTAAAAGCAGAAACTGAAATCGCAAAACAAAAAATGAGAAATATTAATTATGCGTGCACAACATAATTATAAAACAGAATTTCCAACAAGCGATTATCAATTATGCAACTATAACCATGCACCAAGAAAGCTCATACACCATAAAGATTTAGCTCACACAAAAGTCCATACAAAATAATGCATTAAACATTTCCATACCTATAGGGTACAATAAATATCTAATACATTAAAGGAGTGCTATTAGCCTATTCTCAAAGCCAACCATCAAAATCACATTAATAATGTTACACCTATGGGGTGTGTCCATTATTCATGCTACAAGATCTTAAGCATCATCAATAATTCATAAAGTCACAAATTTTATGACCTTAGGACAAAACAACATAATTTTAAAAGTCCTTAGGGTCTTTTGGGAATTAGAAAACGAGTCTAGTACTTAAGTGAAATTTTAAAAGGTAATCAAGGGCAAATAAGTAATTCTGGAAGAGATTTGGGTTAAAATTGCAATTCTGGAAGTTAAGGGACTGCAGTGTAATTTCTAGAAATATCATAGGGCTTATTCGTAAATTTAATAAATTATAGGCCAAGAAGGTAATTTAAACTGAGACTGAAAACACAATTAACTGATTTTTTTTTTGCACTATACTGGGCCCATACAATTTGGGCCCAGTATCAATTTCATATATAAAAAAAAAACGAAATGGACCAGCCCCACCAAAAGCATAACTGTCACTTTTTTTTTATCAAAGATCTGGGCCCATACGAAGATGGGCCCAAAACCATGGAAGGATCCGGTTCCTGACCCGTTTCTGGGTCTTCCCAGCCGCGAGTTGGGAACGAGGAAGGGGGGAGACTGGCGCTGAGACGTTGACGGAGAGACGATGCCGGCGACGGAATCCTGCGGCGGAGACGAAGCCGGCGATGGAAGCCTGCTGCGGAGATGACGCGGCGACAGAAGCAGAGGCGGAACGACGCTGCGATCCTATTCTGGCGAAGGAGGAAGACGCCGTGAACCTGACGGAATTCTGCAGCTCCTTTTTTTTTCGGCGACTTGAACCAGAAATATTTGCAGCAACTGAAGCTGCGTCTTCCCCTGAACAAAGTTGAACGAAATAGAAGCGTTTGGCATTTTTTTTTTGAAGACAGCAAAGTGAAGTCGAGACACCATCTCGGCCAGCGACCGCGGAGACGCCAATAACAACAAAAAAAGACGCGGGGGAAGGATAGATCAAAGAACAGATAATATAATCAAATTTTATATTTGCAACTCTCTCTTGAATATAATAGGATGATGCATATATGAGTATATATGAATCTCATATTCATTCTCATTTTCAATAATATGGATATATATATAAAGAAAGAAAATATATATATATATATATATATCAACATATGAGAGAAATCTCTATCAATGTATCAATATATGCATTAGAAGAATTGAGATATACAAATTTAAAATTCGTTACCAGGCTCTGATGCCACGTGTTGATCTGTATATCTCAATTCACATATATAATAATAATATGATAGAATAAAGTAATTCATGCGTACCTGAAGAATCCATGAGTGCTAGAGAAATCTCGATTACCTCGAGTGCAGGCAGGTACACAACCCTCAAGTCCCTAGAGCCTTCAGAGAGTTCAGAGATAATGGAAGTAGAAGAAAATGAGTCGTGTATTTGCGGTTATCGACTAATCGTCTTATATAGATCAGATCGGTAACCGCCTTATTAAACAATTAAATAATTATATTATCTATTATCTCTGACCCAGTCAGTTAAGAGATAAGAAATAACTGACGGCGGTTGTGGGTTGGGCTTCTGCCCATTGGGCTCACTTGTGTGGTCCACCTATCACGGTCCACACAAGATCATAAGGATCAATTTATTGGGCTTATTAATAAATGCTAATTCATAAATAATATTCTAACAGATAACTCCTTTTCTCTATTTATAACTTTCTTCTAAACTCCTTGACTTGTAAACTAAAGCAATTGTGAGAGTTTAGGTCTTTTATGAGATCGGCCTAGCTACTAGTATTCTCGCGTCTCCTTGTTTCTTTTCCTTTTTCTCCTTTTTTTGGATAATATAATTGGATCCTGGAGATGCCAGGAGATGCCTTCAAGCTAAAAAATGACTTACAAACACCATTATAATTCATCATGCCGTACATTTAAGAGAATGGAAAAGGTAGCATAATCCAGTGCATATGCACAGCTTTGTGTCAGCCCAACAATCTTAATCAAGTACGTATAACATCATGAAATAACTATAAATAAATAAATAAGTAATTTTGTAGCCAAACAATACTCTTCACGTCCAGAATAAAAACTAAGAAAATATTTTTTGTTGTTATAAGGTTTGGGTGTAAGAGAGTTGAATGAGATCACACGTGAATACGGAGCTACTGGTCAACCGCACCTGCCTTCTCTCATCTCATTCTTTCTCATCCCTCAATTAATTTCAGAGTTTCTGTTCAGTGGCATTCATTCTGATTTCCATCTCTCTGTTGCGGCTTAGCTTTTTCTTATGCCTTCCTTAACTTCTTTTCCGCCAAAAAAAAAAATCGTTCTAAGATATTTCTTGGGCGAACCAACGTAATGTGTGTATGTGCGTGTGTTTATGTGTTTACTTAAGTTTGTAAGAAAAAATGATAATTGAGAAACATCATGAAAAGCATATAAGTTTTTTTCCTTTATGTAAACAAGTTACAAGATTCTTAATAAAATATTAAAGTCCTGTATTCATTCTTTTTCTTTCTTTTTTCTTTTTGGTAAATAATTCTTTCTTTATAAATCACAAACAGTCGTTGTTACTATTGGGCTCATGATCTGTTCAGCTTCTGCCCGTTCGCCAACCCAAAATTATTCCGGCTGAAAACTCGTTTTTCGATTGTGCGGTTGACGTTGATACTCCATTTTACGAACACTGCGAAGTTAGTGCTTATACATCTTAGCAAGGCGTTCCACATTTTTTTTAAAGGGTCATCAAGAGTCTATGTGAACTACGTTACGAACTTCGAAGTGAATATGCCTACATCTCAGCGACGCATTTCAGGTTATGCAAGTATAAACGAGTGGCTTAGTTAGACTTTGAGGGTCAATTTAGTGATCCGGTTATCAATAACTCTCTCTCTCTCTCCCTCTCTCTCTATGGTGTAAATAGGATTTTTAGGATTTATTATTATTTTTTAAATATTCCCGTTAGATTTCGAAGGGTTCCGCTGCACCTGAAACCCCATTAATTGCTTGTGCTGCCTTTCATTACATTAATCTTGCGCGAGGCGGTTTCGGCTTTTACTAAGAAGCTCGGCAGATGGTACTGTTATGTAATTAAAAATTACTACTAGGTTCTCTCGTATGATTTTGTAACAAGGCTAGTAACATTGCTTTGTGTAGAATCTACAGTATCGGAATGTCTTAGTGTCTTACCCTGGGTGGGGACAATTAACACCACTGTTTACCCTCCATCACCTCAAGCTCCATTTCAATTAACCAAGTTCATATATGACTCTATCTGCACGTTTATATTACAGTGATAACTCAGATAACTAGGAAACGATAACTGCTACACTAGACATAATAGATCATGCCAACCTCTAGAGTAGATGCTTGAGGTATGTTTAAAGCATAATTTGGTCCTCTAGAGTTCCTCCTCAGAAAATCAAACCCATAATTGATCACTGCTTTCTTTATCCAGCTCGATCCCCTTTTGGCTTTTACGTACGAGTGGCCCATTATGAAAGCCATTCCTGCTTCCCTTGCTTCCTTTAACTTCTGCAACTCCTCGCTCGCGTCCAAGTTTATCTGTGGACTTGCTGGCACCACAAACCTCACTCTCTTCTTAACCCTTTCCGGAGACCTGACCTCCCTCAACTCTGAAGTGCCTTCCATTTGAGAACAAGCTCCGTTTTCTTCACACATTCTTATGCCTTTGAGTTTTGAAGCTGACGTCCCAACAACTGTCATTTTTGCATCCACTTCAATGTTGTCCAGCGCTGAGACATTCTCAAAACTGTCTGATCGGATAAATTCTGCTATGCTGCAGACAAGATCGTTCTCAAACTCTGTGTCATCCTTGTGGAAATCACGGTAACCATACCGTGCTATGCACCGATAGAGCTGATACTCTTTTGGGCCAACTCTCCCCACCAAGAACCTCTCCTCAGGTCTGACGTGAGGCACTGGCACGGATTTAATGCAGAGGAAGACGACGACCTGATGGAAAGCTGGCAGATTGGTGACGAATTGAGAGAATATAGCTGGGATTCCTGATACGAGCTGTGTGTGTATGAGGCCAATTCCTCTGACTCTTACAATGCCGAGAGCAGGGCCTAGACCGAGGAGCCATTTGATGGAGACCTTGTTTTGAAGATCAAACTCGTATTTCTTGAGTGTACCGTAATGCCATACACACATGACAGCGAGGAAGGAGAAGGAGAGGGCAATGGGGACCCATGCCCCTTCTAGGAACTTGATGAGGGATGCAGAGAAGTACAGTGCTTCAATGGAACCAAATATCAACATAAAGGAAATGGCTAGCGAAATGCTTTTGCGCCAGCACAAGATTATAACTAGAGACATCAGGCAAGTAGTCACCAGCATCACAGTTATGACAGCCAAGCCTGTTTATGGAATGAAAACATAAAATTAATTTTTGGAATTGCTACAAGTTATTGGTTAGGGACATGGTAATATCTTGTGAGGGAAAGTACCTGATGCATTTCCCATGCGTTTGGTGTCTCGAAATCCAATAGTGATGGCGAGGCAAAGAAGCATCAAAGTCCAGTTGATTTCTGGAATGTAAATCTGGCCGTGTATCTTAGATGACGTGTGAATAATTTTGACTTTGGGGAAGCAGCCCAAAGCAGAACATTGCTTGATTATTGAGAAAGTCCCTGTGATTACTGCTTGGCTTCCAACAACAGCTTGAAGTATGGCTATTGCAAGAACAGGCCATCTAATCTTCTCTGGAGAAAAGAATGAAATGTAAGCCAAACAGTGAACACTAAATGGCTCTAGGAATTGTGGAATTCATCCTTCCCACTAAATATAATTCAAAGAACCTACCAGGAACAGATACGTAGAAACCGATTCGATAGTCACTCTCCAAGATATGGTGCTTGGAAAGATACGCAGCTTGTCCCATATACGCCAAAATTAAAGAAGGATACACTAAAAAGGTGAAAGCGATCTGCAGACAGCCAAACGAATTAATGCTAAATTATACGATATCCATATGAAATGTTCAGTAACAAATGCATCAGATAGTGTTAGACCAAGCATTCAGCTAAACAGTTGATTCATCTCTTATTCCTTTTTAACATTGCCTCATTTTTTTTTTTTTTCAAATCCAGAGTTCTAAACAAAAGGCTTCATTTTTACCTTAATTGACAGCTGTGAAAAGTGTCCTAGATCAGCAAACATAGCTTCAGAACCTGAAGAAAATCAGTGTTTGCATCAGAGAAAGATAAGGCATCTGTCAAACATGAAGCAATAGAGTATAATTGCTATACTCATTATTACCCGTTATACACAGAAGGATCCCACCTAATGACATCCAGCCTCCCCTCTGGGTCTTTCTCAGGAACTTGAACATGTAATATGGGCAGAGAGCTTCATAAACATGTGGGTTCCAGTGAAAGATATTATAGACACCAATGGCACTAATGCATAACAGCCAGGTCAGCACGACAGGAGCAAACAGAAACCCCAATCGGTGGGTCCCATAATGTTGGAGGGCAAACAAAAGTACCAGAATTATACAAGCCACTGGAACCTCAACATCTGGAGAACCAATCCATTAGCTTAACTTCGTTCTAGTATTTTCAGCTCATGCAATACAGCCAAGAATCATTGAGGAACATAGTTTATAAGTAGTCTAATAGTGCCCAGTCCCAATATTGTCATCCGCGGAAATAAAAGCTGGCTGCTACATAGAATTTTGTTGATATCTTATCCAAATTACTATACTCTTATTTTTTTATCCTCACTACAGACTGCAAGGAAAGCTTAAATTGATATGTGAACTACTTTGTGCTTAAGCTTCCAATATATGAAGTCAATCTTTATCTTAGCCTCATCATGTTCTATGTTTACTCGATCAAGAGAAAGGTAACAATAACTAGAGGGAAAGATTGGGTGGGGAAAAGACAAGTAATAGCTCAAACCAGATTTGTGGATAGCGCTGCAACATTTATAATACATATTTTATTTATACAGCGTTAAAAATCAATCATTTGATATTATTAACATTAAATATATCAATTAATTAGTGGTAAGTCACAGTTAGTTAATATTAAAATCATGCAGTCAAACTTAATTCCATACCATAATCGATGAGATCCTCTAAACAAGACATGGAAAACACTACAATCAAATAATTCCCATCACTGTGATTTTTGACCAAGATATTTTGCTCTCGGGATCCACAACAACATAATTTATGAACAGGAGGGCATTTGGTTCCTTGTTAACGTCCACTAGCTGAAACGTCTTGCCAACATACAACATGAAAAAGAAGCCTTACTGAAACTGAAAGTCTAAACGAACGGCTTTACAGAACGAGAACTTGGCCTGAATTAAACTGACAAAACATGAACATATTCCGAAGAATAGTTCCAGACACATGGATTTTCTTTATCAAAGCATGAAACATCTTATAATGTTACAGCATCTTATAATGTGCTAAAAAGCAGGATAACTTTGTGCAGCCGAGACCTCTTCATACCAAGAAACATAAAAGGCAAAAAAGTGAATCAGCCGACAAGCTATTAGTACCAGACTAGAAGTAGAGTAGGGCTTGGGGAGCTTACATCGATGCTGCTCTTTAGACATGGAAAGTTCAAGGCCTGATACGGCGGAAAAAACTGCAAAATGACCAAAAAAGCCCAAACCACTGCTCTTGTCAAGATTCCATTCCTCTGCTACTTGAGACCAAAACAGTTTATACATAGAAGTGACAACACTATGTCTATAGGTAAAATAAAATCCCAAGTACCAGAAATCGCTGGTGTGAGCACGCCATCGCCAATGACCATGCAAGTCCCTATCAAAGCCAGAATAAGTAACACTCTCTGAAGCACCCTATGTTTTTCCAACACTGATTTCAAGCCCCACCCAACATTCTTCTTATCGACCAGTACAGTCCCGTCTTTAGTATATTCCGTTAAGTCTTCATCAGCTTGCTGGGTATTTGGCAGTAAGCTAACTCGGACGTGCCGGCACAGCAAGGAATACAAAGCAAAAGTGCCTCCTTCGCCATTGTCATCTGCTCGAAGCACAATGAAGACATACTTGACCAGAGGAATCAGTGTGAGCGTCCAAAATACAAAAGACAGAACCCCGTATATTTCTTCATTGGTTTCTGAATGCTGAATATCCTCATCGAAGGTGCTTTTGTAGACGTAAAGAGGGGAAGTGCTCAAATCTCCATAGACAACTCCCAAGCTTTGATAAGCCAGAGTCAGTACCGTCTTCCATGATTCTTTCTGCCAGGATATAAGTATGATGAGAAAGCAGAGGTTTGGAAAAGGGTCTAACAGTAGTCACATGCCTTACCTTAGTCGGATTTTGGTATACCACGGATTCCAAGTCCATCATTGGCTATCCCAGAGCTACAAAGCTTCCATCTCTAGAGTCCAATTAAAGGATGATGAAGATATAACCTTCAAGGATTGACCCCCGCCCCAGAAGAAACAAGTAGAAAAACAAAAAAATATCAAGGGGGAAGTGGCCGCAGCATAACTAATACAACCTTTTGCTTTTTTTTTTTTTTAATATATATACCAGATACTAGAGAAACGTGTGTCGACGAGGAGGTGATATGGAATGGGTTGGCTTGAGATTAAAAAATGAGGAGGCTTGATAATTGGTATTCTGGGTTGAGGTTGTGGATAGAGAAACCATCAAATATGGCATGGCATGGCATGCGCTTATCGCAAATCGTTAATGTCTTTTGAAGGCCTAGTTAACAGGGACCACTGAGAGGGACTTCTCCATTCCTCCTGATACAACTCTGACGTTCGAGTTTCACTCTGTTGCGTTGCTTCCACTCGAATCTTATTTCCCACTAGCCCTTTCTTTTGCCCCTGCTGCGGAGCCAGAGAATTATATCCCAAATGATTGATCTCAAGTTTGTGTTTTTTTTTTTTTTTGGGGGGGGGGGTGGGAATTAATATATATACTTAATTTGTGACAATATATATTTTTGGCTGACAAACATATTTATGACAATATGTGTGTGTGGGGGGGGGGTATGTATAAATTGTAAATATTTTCAAGTCATAAAATAATTGAGAAAACGTGTATCACATAGAAACATGTTTTTTTCTTAAACCTTGCTGCTCAGTAAGCCACTTGAGTTTTTTTTTTTTTTTGTTTACAGAAAAATGCATTGTACTTTTATACTTCCTTCATCTTTGTCATTTGCAAACGTTGGGATGGGGGGAAAACTTAAGAGAAATACTTTAGGATCTCATACAACATGATTAAATGCTATAAGTTTCATTAATAATTGTTGTCATTTTTTTTATTAAGTTGTCAATAAACTTTGTAATATTTAAATGTGTTGTGTGTAAGTTATAGGTAATTCTTCTAAAAAAATTCCATCATTTTGTAAATAACTTAATACGTTTCTCATTTCTTATAATTAGAACCTGCATATCATATGCGTAGTGGTGGTATTTGTATGTGTTTGCAAGCAGGAATTTTATTTTATAATATGGAAATAATTTCTTTTGAGGTAATATTTACTAGAGTCAAATTTTATTGAAAAAATAAATATAAAACGAAAGCCACTGTAGAGCCCTAAAGAGGTAATTTTGAAGTGATTTTATGAAATAAAAATAATTATGATCAGATGGATAAAAAGCAATATCTTGGGACAAACATGATTAAGATATCACATTTTTTTAGGCCCACGGACATCATTTGGATTGGTCTTAAAAAAAGTTGGCAAGTCCATCGATCCCAAATGTCGTAAAGCAAAAACGTTGCGTTGTCAAGTCCCTTCCATCCTTTTGGCGCTGTCGTGCTGTTGGTTTTGACAAGCAAATTTAAATTTTGTTTCAAAATAATGAAGGCTTTAATTTTTTTGATTGACCATTGATTATATTCTTGTAACGTTTTCCCTTATTAACACATAACATTTGGAAACGATAAAGTATGCATGAGATGTAAGGTATTTCAGATAAATAATAGAAAAATATTTTGATCCGAAAGAGATTATAATAAGCTATAAGAATCAGAGGCAGCTCAAACCCTACCGACACTCAAGATAAGGAAACTAGAAAACATAGCCCACCCATGACATGTCAAGGAAAACCCTGAATGGATGAGATGAGTGTGCCTTTTCAAATCATTTTCAAATATCTTTAGTTCTTTACGAAGTTGAACTAATTGAAGTTTAAAAAAAAAAAGGTCTTATTTTTTTTCTCTCAAATTTCACTCTTTTTTTTTCTGGGTTAATTAGGTGCAAGGTCCTAGTCGATGGAATACGTGTTAGGTCCTCACTAGAATTAGAGTGTTGTCGTTTAGAACATTAAAAAAAAAAAACGAGAGAACATTATTGCAAAGAATATATATAAGATAAGAGAACCAACCCTACCATTAAATTTGGTTATGCTACTAGTTGTCACCTAACGTTACAAAAGGACTATATAAGCTTATATATATAATAAGAGAGGTGGAAGATGAGATAAGTGGAGATAAGTGGAGGCAACACTGAGAGAAGCCACTTTCCAACCTGACACGTGGCCACTTCATCCAAAAGCCCACAACTATCTTTGCTTCTTTTCTTTTCTTACTTGCTCACGACTTCCCCCGTCTCTCTCTCCATCTCTCCATTTTATTTTATTTTTAATTAAAAGGCTAAATCCTAAGAACTTAAAATTATAAGCAAGATTAAACTTATAATCTCCACTAATAAAAAAAGCTTACATATCACTAGATTAAGGTTATTAACAATCACTGCATTCTATTAATTGCCTCTGTCTTGCCTTCCCCGGGCAATCAACAAAAAGAACATCAATTTTGATATTGAATAGTCTTCCTGGTCTTAATCTTTTTTTATGAAAATCCATATTTAAAAATATAATACACATAATTATTGATAATAAAAACATATAGAACGAATCTTATCTTTAATTCCCTTCAATTGGTATAAGAATAGTAACAAATGTTTTACACTAAAAATAGTGGTAACATACACATGCATGCGTCATCTTCTTATCTAATCACTTTATTTTGTCACTCATTGTCATGCTTTAATTTAAAAAAGGACAGAACCCACCGATTTTCACTTTAATGACTTGTTTTATTCATCTTGGAATTGTTTTTGGATCACCTCCTCTTCAATTTTATTGAAAAAGAATTAAGAAGAATCCCGATAAGTTTAGTGCCTTCCACATCTTAAAAAATATAAGAGAGTTTGAATCATTGATCACTACCTCCATTTCAGCATATTTTCATGGCTGGAGAAAAATGAAATATTTTACTAGCCAAGTTTTGAAAGAGCGCCTAGCAGATTTTAATTCAAAAAATATACTGACCAAGAATAAATTTTTTCAACACGAAATACGGATAGCACAAGTAATTCGCTAGCTTAATGGCACTCACGTAAACGTATACATACACGCGCGCGCGCGCGCGCGAGGAGAGACATGTAGAGAAATCAACGCGCGTGCCTAAGTCTAACCTTTATTGGACAAAAAAAAAAAAAAACCATGGATCATTACAAAGTGTCAAGCTTGTGTTTTTGTTTCTGGTTTTGATCACCGAGGCCAAACTCTTGATGATATTAAAAAGATTCGAATATGCCAACAGCTGTCGGCATGTAAACGTCTGATCAAATAAACACGTTTCGTTAAATGAGTGAAGTCTTATTTTGTCGGCGCGTTTACTGTTTTCAGATATTGATAAGAAATAATAGGTTCTTATTAATAAATCAAAATATTAAATAAGATCGATAAGTGAATTTCCTCAATATTCATTCATCTGGGAATGTCAGCTTTCCAATTTGTCTCTATCACGGACTTGAACGTGTATAAAGATTTCGTCTCCTTCAAAACAAATTAACTCAAGCTAAAACACTGTTGCAAAATTAAAAAAAAAACGCGGCCCGATACAAATTAAACACTTCAAATAAGAGCATGATCGATGAACTAGATACGCAGAGTGACTTCTTCCGTGCTTGTTTTGAAAGTACACATGGTTTTTTTTATTAGAATTAAGATACATAAATATCAATTACGACTTAAAAATAACTTGAAAAAAAAAGAAGGGTAAAAGAGTAAAAATACATATAAAGTAGTTAGTCAGGGTAGTCAATATTTTAAAATAAAAAAAATGACGTAAATACTCATAATGTTACATGAGTGGGGGTAAAAGTAACCAAACCATTAACTTTATTCTAACGTTGTTAACTTTGACTATTAAATGCTAAATGTGCATGATATATGTTAGTCTTTGCTAACGTGGATTGATAAAGAAACAAAAATACACATAAAGTTATTGACCAAAAGAAAAAATACTCATAACGTTACCGAAATTTATACAAAAATGACCAATCTATCAAATCCCTTAAATATTGATTGTTTAGCTAACATTTAAGTAGGAGTTGACTATTTTTTTGTTGACATGGACAAAAAATATTCTAAGATGAAATTCTCTAAAGATTGATCAGTCATCATATGAATATCATGTGAGAAAATATCGTCTTGACCGAATATCAAATTAAATTGGTTGTTTCTTTACAATAATGTCAAAAACCATTTGAAATTTTTGAATTTATCATGAATAAAATTGCTTAAAGTTATGACAATGTTTTTAAGGTAAGGTGATGTAGAAGGTGTGTTGAGTCTTGATCTTCGATTGTGTACAACTTATCTTACTATGTTGAATCTCAAGTTTTGTAGATAAGAAAAATGAGTGGAGAGGGAAGGAAGAAGGGGATGGGATACGTGGCGATGGAAAGAAACCATGTAACATGAATTTTGACAGATTGATCACTATTGCACCTATTAAAGTAACATTATGAGTTTTTATATAATGATCGATCAACCTCCGTAAAAATTCATCTGGCAATGTTTTTTGTCTATATCAGCAAAAAAAAATTGTCAACTTTTGCTTAGGTGTCAATTAAATGGTCAGCATCTAAGAAATTTGATGGACTAGTCACTTTTGTACCAATTTTAGCAATGTTATAGATATTTTTGCTCTTGACCGATAATTTTGTAAGTATTTTTGCCCCTTTATTAATTCATGTCAGCAAAGCCTAACTCATGGCTTGTATAGTTAGTATTTAATAGTTAAAGTTAACGGTGTTAAGGCAAAGTTAATGATTTAATTACTTTTGCACCCGCTTATGTAATGTTATGTGTATTTATATTTTTTTCTCACTTTAGGATATTGAGTGTCCCTGGCTGACTACTTTGTAGGTACTTTTGCTATAAAGGATGTCCTAAATTAGATTTATTCATCAATCTGACTATAGTAAATTAAAGACTAACCCAAAAGGATTATCCTATAAGAGATTAACCTAAATATATTCTTAACATGTATTTTCACAAACGATTCAATATAAAAGGATCCCAAGTCTTTAAAATATTTCAAGAACTCATATCATTTAATTAGACATATGCGGAAGCATGATAAAGGAAACACATTAACATGGGAGAAGGGCTTCCCCCTTTATTTTCTCTCTATACCTTACTCCACAATACATATATACATATTTACAACATAATACTTGGCCATTCAAACCCTTCCATAATTGATAGCGGGGAGCCAAGGTTTCAATCACATTTATCACAATGACTATTACCTAATCATTATACTCTATATATCATCTATTCATCAATAGCCCATCATATACATGAATTTCTCTTTTCATTCACATATAATTAATATCAATTGCTCACCCTTAGACATCAAAAATACAAGGGGAGACCATAACAACATTCAAGTCCTCAAATTAAGCAAATAATAACTATTTTCATTTGCACAAATATTTTGGCTCGTCAATATAACACAAGCATCAAACCA